AGTCATTCTTGGCCCTTGTTCCAGATGGATGTTAAAATGCTTTTCTGAATGGTGACTTACAGGAAGAGGTCTACATGCAGTTGCCTCCTGGATTCTATGATATAGAGATAGGTAAGAAGGTTTGCCGACTGAACAAGGCATTGTATGGTTTGAAGCAGTCACCTAGAGCCTGGTTTGATGGATTCAGACTAGCCTTTGGAAAATTCGGTTATGTAYAGGCCCAGTCAGATCATACACTGTTCATTAAGAGGGTGGACTCCTCTCTGACCCTACTTGCTGTATATGTGGATGATATTGTAGTGACAGGAAGTAATAGTAGTGAGATTGAGTCCCTCAAACAGCTCCTTCATCAAGAGTTTGAGGTGAAAGATCTTGGTACACTACGGTATTTTTTGGGTATTGAGGTTGCTAGATCTAAACAGGGGATCTTTATCTCTAAGAGAAAATATGTTTTAGATTTGTTGGCGGAAACTGGAAAGTTAGGTGCTAAGCCTGTTGATACACCCATTGAACAGAATCACAAGATTAGTGCAGAGGGCGGGGAGCTTCTTGAAGACAAAGTTATGTTCCAACGGTTGGTTGGAAAGCTCTTATATCTCTGCCTCATTCGGCCAGATATCAGTTATGTAGTTAGTGTTGTCAGCCAGTACATGCATTCCCCTAGAACTACTCATCTTCTTGCGGCAGAGAGAATATTAGCATACTTGAAGAGATGCCCGGGTAGAGGTATATTGYTCAAGAACAGTAATCACATGAAGGTGGAGGTCTATACAGATGCCGATTGGGCTGGGAGTGCTGATGACAGGAGGTCTACCTTTGGATATTGTGCCATTGTGGGAGGTAACCTTGTCTCTTGGAGGAGTAAGAAGCAGAGTGTTGTTTCCCGTTCTAGTGCTAAAGCAGAATATAGGTCAATGGCTAATGGAGTGACTGAAATTCTATGGCTGAGGTCACTACTTGAAGAGTTGGGTATTGATTATGAGAAGCCCTTGATGCTGTATTGTGATAATCAGGCGGCTATTAATATAGCCCACAATCCAGTGAAGCATGACATAACTAAACATATTGAACTTGATCGACATTTTGTGCGAGAGAGGGTCTCATCACAAGAAGTGTGTCTCTCGTATATCACATCCAACATGCAGCTTGTGGATATCCTCACCAAGGCTGTACCAAGGAAGAAGTTAGAGGCAGACCTATCCAAGTTGGGAATGATAAATATCTACTCCCAACTTGAGGGGGAGTGTAAAGAACATTGATGTGGGCCCCACAGCTGTGGTCCCCACTGTGTTCGTAGGACATTATGTGTAATTATTTGTTTCAGTCATGGTAGTGTCAGTTGGTGGTCAGTTTGTTATTTTAGTTGTTATTTGCTTTATTTGTCATGTAAGTACTAAGGGCAGATCTGTCATTTTCTCTATGTACTGAACATAACCTATAAATACTAAGAGAGTAGCGGCGGCAAATCAGTTAGAATCTGTCCCTCCTTTCAAACCCTTGTGTTCTCTAGTTCTTCTCCTCTCCTTTCTTCCTTCCTCTTACTTTTCTTCTACTTTTCTTAATCTGAAATCTATTAGGGTTCAAGGCTGGTCGCAGTCTTGATCGTCTACTGGGATGTTGGTGTATCCTGGTGGGCTACTTTGAACTCTTTGTGGAAAGCTATACATAGCGTTCTTCCCCATTTCCTACGCTTGATCACGTATGATGTGTGTATTGGAGTTAAGGTTTTGTTTTGGGAGGATGTTTGGAACTTTGGATTGGTAACTCTATCCTCAAGGATCTTTCGAGTAGAATTTGGGTTTTGGGAGAGATTTGAGAGACTTTGAACTTGACCAGGTTGCCTTGCTCCTTAAACTTCTTGATCTTGTTTGCTTGGACCCTTCTGAACCCGATGCTCTCATTTGGACCCCTAACTCGTTGGRMTTGTTTTCATGTGCTTTTTTCTCTACTTTGTGCTTGGCCCCTAACCCTCAACCTTTTTATTGTAAGGAAATTTGGTCCAGACCTGTTTCTCCTAAAGTGGATCTCATTGTTGGGAGGTGTCTCTTGGAAAACTAATTACTCTGGACAATTTGCAAAAAAGAAGACCTTGTCTTAGTATTTCCCCAAACTGGTGTATCCTCTGCAAAGCAAATGGAGAAAGTTGCTACCACTCACTAATCTCTTGTCCTTTTGTTGTAGGTCTTTGGGAGAAGTCTTTTTGGTTGCAGGTGGACAGTGCCATTGCAGATTAGCAATCTATTTGACCCTACAACCTTYAGGTGGCCAAAGGGAAGAGGTAGAGTCTTATGGAGGTGTGCTAGGGATGCTTTAGTTTGGACTGTGTGGGAGGAAAGAAACGCCAGAATTTCTCGTGTCCTAGCGCTCAAGGTGACTCCACTAGAGCTGAACTATTTGCTGTTCTGTGTGGGGCACAATTACCAAAAAGGCTAAGGCTTAGAAGGTTGGTGGTTGAAGGGGATTCTCAAGTGGTGATAAGCTGGTTAGAGGATGAAAAGAAGGCAGCCTGGACCTATTGAGAAATGGTGAAGAGGATCAAGTGGCTCTTAAGGGATACAACAGTTTGTTTCATTGGGTTCCTAGGGATGCTAATGGGATTTTGATTCGTTAGCCAGACAGGGGGTTGTCAGGGAACAATTATTTTGGGCTCAATTGTATTAACTTTCATCACTTAGGGGTAGTCATACCCCACTTGTTCATCTCTGTACACTTCTGTTTATATTAATGAAATGATACCTGTTAATTATAAAAAAAATGCCAGAATTTTCAACAATAAGGAGAGGAATGAGGCTTGTATATTGAGATTGTATAATTAGTAGGCTATAAATTGGGCTAAATCTTTGGACTTCTTCTCACCTTTCTCCTTTGATGACATCTAGAGGAACTAGGATTGGTGGCCAAAATCTCTGTTGTGAGAGAGAAGTCTATGGTGGAGAAGAGGCCCCCTGAAGAAGGTGTCATCAAGCTAAATTTCGATGGTAGTAGTCTAGTTAATCCAGGGTCATCTGGTATTGGGGGAGTCTTCAGAAATGCACAAGGTTAGATTATTGCCTTATTTTCTGGTCCTATTGGAGTGGGGGATTCAGTTAGTGCAGAAGTCCAAAAAGTGTTACAAGGAGCAGAGATTGCTAAAGAATTGAGTTTTGACCATTTGTTAATTGAAGGTGACTCAAAATTAGTAATTGGGTTGCTGAAAGTAGGGCTGTTCATGGGTTGAATTTGGGTTGGTTTAATATATATTTTTCAATCGACCCGACCTGGTTGGGTTACTTAAAGAGCAAACAACCGACCTGCCATTAAGCAAAACCGATCCAAACATGAAGGGTCGGTTTGGCATTGTTTGTGAACAACCCCTATTTTGGTGTAAAATTTCCTACTCAAAAAAGGAAAACAATCCTAAAGACAAAATTAATTCCCATTTAACTAATGTTTTGTTGTTCTTTAATGTTAAAAATAAGTAAGTAACTAGAAAGAAGAAACTAGGATAGGGATTACCTAATTAGGTAATGACTAAGAAATCAGAAACTAACTAACTTGGTTCGGTTCGGTTTCGATTTTCGCACATGAAAACCGAAACGAATTATTGGTTTATCGCTCTTCACAACCCTAAACTGACCGGTGGTGAAGAAAAACCGACCAAATCGGGTTGGGTCGGGCCGATTTGGTCGGTTTGGCATTGTTTGTGAACAACCCTAGCTGAAAGAACCAGAGACAGTGGCTAGGCCTTATAGGGGAGCCTTGAGGAGATTCAAATGGTTAACCACGAATATCACAGTCAGATTCCAATGGGAAAGAAGATCAGAAAATGGGATAGCAGATTGTCTAGCTAGACAAGGGGTGCATAGGAACCAGCTTTTTAGGCTCAGTTGTATTATTTTTGGGTTGTTTTCAGGCTGCACCTCGCACCTCTTTGTGGGAAGCAATCACTGTGTATCTCATTATTGGTCCTTGACAAAATTCTATTACTTATAAAAAAGAGATTATTATATTCTATGTATTTATTATTTTTGTCAAAACAGTTATCTTTTTGATGCTTATGCTTCATGTTTAGGCAAGTGAAACGCTTTGTTTCATGCTATGACTCTAAAAAATTGTTCTGTTAATTCTGAAATGTAGTGTTTCAAACTGTACTTGTTTCACATCCATGTCTTTTATCAGTATAGTAGATCCACCAAAATTGGTATTTTGTTATTAGTACTGATCAGAGAGTTGGATGAGATATTGAGTTCTTACCAATTCAGAAGATTGGAGTTCCACCATCCATCTCCTGTAGCCTATATTAAGAACCTGCTTTCACTGTATACTTTTCTTTTCTTCTATACTTTGTAACTATGACATATCTACTTAGGTATTACTGTTGTTTATAGGTCTCATGTGGTAGTACTGTTTAAGAAGGTTTGCAAGATGAAATTTAACCATTATAATTTATAAACTTTGACAGCATATCCAAAAATGAGTGTGGTAGAAATGCATAATGTTAGATGGATGAATGGCAAAACTAGAAAAGATGGGGTCAGAAATGAAGTCATATGAAGGAAAGTAGGAGTAGCTCCAATGGATGATAAAATGAGAGAAAGTAGACTGAGGTCGTTTGGTCATGCAGACATTGACATAGAAGACCATCTACAACATCCATTAGAAGAAGTGATCTATTACAATTTACAAGTTGAAAGGGCTAGAAGAGCTAGTGACAGACCGGGAAGGACTTGGGTGGAAGTAGTAAGAAATGATTTAACTAGTCGAATGTGCATAGTTGGGACAAGGTTTAGATGATGATGATGAGATTATAAGCTTTAACAATTGACCCATAAAAGCAAAAAGAAATATGGAAATAGCCAAATAGATCTTTCTCAAAAACAAAAAAAAGATCTACTGGGTTTGGCCCTCTTCAATGCATTCTGCTTGCTTGCATCCTCTTATTTTTCTGAGATTTGTTGATTACTTGAAATGCCACTACTTTTTTTTTTTTTTAATTTTGTTATATTTATATATGTTTGCAGAACATGAACAGAGAGCCTGCTGATTCTAGATGGAGACCAGGCACGCAGGGGCGAGGGGGTAGGGGTGGTCGGGGGAATTATTCTCCTCGTTACATCTCACATGGTATGTGTTCAACAATTAGGAAATCATATTAGTTCAAAGAAATCATATATTATGGATTGATCATCTGGCTTTGGTTTTCCCATTTGTTTAACATGATTATATGCAATCTATGCCTTTAATATCTCTGGAAATACTCTTTCAATCATTCCATATAATTGTGGGAATCCTTACTGCAACTCACTAATTATTGCATTTGGTCTATACAATTTCAGAAGTTAGAGCTGCCTTCTTGTCAATATGAAAGAAATGGTTGTTGGGTGGTGGGAGGTGTTGGGCTTGGATCTGCTACCCACTAGATGTTCCCACATCCCTACCCACGGGACATTACAGCTGCACATTGGGAATATCTCCCTTGTCGTTCATGGGAGATGTTCCCAATACACGGTGGGGATCTCGTGGGTAGGGATGTGGGAACAGTTTGTGGGTAGCAGATCTGGAGTGGGAGGTGTTAGACATCCTCACTTTTTTTTTTGATTATTATAGCTATTTCCATCTAGTCTTTTAATTTCTAATGCAGAACTTCTTAACTTCAGAAGGTCTGAATATTAGTGGTGATGGCTGGAAAACTGGTTTTATTTCCTGAAGCGGTTTGTTGATTCATGCCATTGTGTATGACAATGATATTTAATTTATGATTTAACCATTTCCAGATGCTGGTGGTGGGAGGAACACTGTTGCTGGGAAGGAAAATGGAGTTAATCAAGTTGCAGAGAGAGGTGTAGCTGTTACACCCTCTTCCCTGACACCCCCTCAGGATACAGAAAACAAAATAGTAACTCCTGGATCAAGGTGGCTATCATCAACTGACTTTTCTTTACTAAGTATAAAATTCATAATCTTAACTTTCAAGAAACTTGGATCTTGTATTTCCTGTTAGTGTGTATCTGTGTGAGGTGGGCATGCTTTTTTAAGTTGGTATGTTTTTTGTTCTGCAGCTCTGTGGATGTCCTGGCAAATGGTCCTACCAGTGTAACTGCTGTGGGTCCCAGTCATGGYCATACCTCCAAAGTGCCTCCAGGCAGCGGAATCAACTCACCTGAAGAAAGTTCAGTAATTGATGCTAATAAGTTAGTTAGTACACCACCACCACCACCACATGGTGATTCAAAAAGCACCCCTTCATCTGTTACTGGAGTTACATGTGCGCAGCCTGCACCAACTCCTGACCTGTCTCTAGCATCTGTTTCAGGGGTATATTCATCTTCTTCGGATCCTGTACTGGTTCCATCCTTCGATTCACGTCCTCCTGGTGCAGTGGGTACAATTAAACGTGAAATAGGGAGTCAACGAACGGTAGTTGAACAGAATGCTAAAATTTCTTCTGAGAGCAAATCAACTGCGTCTCAGGACTTTGGTAATCATCTTCAGATAAACAAACATGTATCTCATGATCCAACTGAGTCTGAGTTGTGTTCATCCACGAGTGAAAAAACTTCTGGAATTGGAAACCCCATTCCAGGGAAGATGCCAAACAGACCCCAAGGAATTGAGAAAAATCAGCCTTCTGAATCATCCCAACCTTCTTCATCTACGCATGGTGGCTCTTCGGCTAGTAGGCCTTCTTCTAACTATAGTAACCGCTCACAACAACTTACTGGTCCTCAAAAAGGTAATATATTATCTAATCATCACCTTTTACTGATGGATTTGCATGAAGTCATGAACCTAGATTGAAATTCCAGTTTTTGTATAATACATAGTTTCTGCGATGAATTGCAAATTTTTTTAGTAGTTTTTTTCTTTTATTACTTTAATGATATTAATTATTTTAGTATAGTCTACCAATAAGCAAACATTAGTCTTCAGTTTGTCATACATTTTAAGTATCAACTTAGGCTTCTAGTGGCTATCCTTGGTGGTATGTGGTACTATAAATGCCAAATTTGTCGAAATTGTTTTTTTCTCCATTTATAAGCTGATTGGCTASCGGTGGATGTGCTATCACTTTTTATACTTTATTTGTTTCAATGTTCAAAACTTCATATGAATCTTAAAGTTAAATGTTCTTCCTTGATTTTTTTCTAAATTATGTGTACAAAGCAAAGTACTAGTTTGTAGCTTGAACTGAAGTCTGAATTTCACTGTATCATAGTTCCCACTTTTTTGCTACATGTAGTTTGTTATTTCATTTTGGCATCTTGACTTACAAATTTACAATCTCACTTGTTTGTATGTGCTGTGTGTATGCTAATTTTTTTTTGATAGGTGTATATTAAATTTTTTCAAAGCAAAGCATAACATGAAATAGCCATTTTATCCAAGAAGTAAAAGCATAAGCTTCTGCACCTAAGGCATGATTAATTTAATCATCTGCCGAAGTATAATATTTTTCTTGGGCTTCGTGTGGGTTCTTAATTTGTATATACAAACTGATTGTACTGTCACATGACATATGTTTTAAGTTTGCAAAGTGCTATAATGCTATAATTGAGTAAAATGGTGTTTTTTTTTTTTGATAAAAAAAGTAGTGGTTGGGGGAGGTCCATTTGACACCTGAAGTGTTTGGGAGGCCTTGATCAAGGAAATTATGGAAAAGAAGGGCTTGATCAAAGGATCATAAAATGTTATTTTGTACAATCTAAGAAATCAAGGATGTTGTGATTGGATGGATTACGAGTAGGGCAATTACCTTGGCAAAGTTGGCCACCTGGGGCATTTGGAGGATGAACCTAGGGGCGATCATAAGTACCTATTATAAGGTGATAGGGATCATACAGCAAACTTCAAGACTTAAAGAAGAAAAGAGAAGTGCCCAACAATTCTAAGGCCGTAGTTCTTATTTGACACAATAATGAAGAAGATTCTAGCTGGGAGCTAGAATAAATTCTGGGTGTTTTGAGTTAGTAATTAAGTTTAAGAAATAGTAGTGTTAAAAGTGTGTAATTTGTTTGTTTGGTTTTTTTTTTTTTTTAATGTGGATGTGTGATGTTTCCTATATTTGGGTGTGAGGCCTAAACCTAAATCCTCTAGGAGCGGTTCCTAGTTCTTTTTTTTTTTCTTTAAAGTTCTTTGCTGTGCTACATAATAAGGGCTATAGCCCAAGCCTGGAATTTTTTGGGCTGGGCTGGGCCAGGCTATAAATGATCACCCTAAATGATACTTGTAAAAAACACCCTAGATGAACTGCCAATACGGAGTCTTTTCCTTTGTAGTTGTCCTAGGTTATCCATTTTTTTGATTACCTGATTTACAACCACGTTTTCTTTTCTTTTCTGTTATTTTGTTTTCTTTCTCCCCCAAGTTTTTTTATGTTTTTCATAATATAGGAGGAAGAAAATAGGAGTGATCTACAAGTGGACTTCAAGGTCAGCTAAACACCTAGCTGGTGAGTTTGCAAGTCTGGGGGTATACAGAAAGCAAATATAGTTATATAGTAGGTTATCATACCAAATGAAGGAAATGTGTAATGGCAGGGTTGTTAACTGATGTTAACTTCGTAAAAGGGTTGCAGGGCACTTAAACAATGTAATTGAAGTTTCATTTAAGAAAAAAGGCAATAAAATTCTGTTGTTACTTGTTATTGATCAAAAAGAAAAGGGATGAGGAGAAGCACATTATTTGTCATTAATCTAACCATTTATTATTTTTTACTTGTGTATAAGAAACTTCTGAATGATAGATAAATTATTTGATAACAATTCCATTATAGACAGGGAGGATGGCAGAATGTGCATTTCTTCTCTTTCTTTTAAAATGTTGAAGTTGGCTTCCTTTTTTTGTGTGCTTGTCTGAAATTTAATCTATATCTGTATGCCAAATAAGCCTTGCCTCAATTGATGCCAGCCCTAAGGTGTGTGCAGGTCCCATTGCTGTTAATTATCTTTTTCTAATGGTGTTCTAGCCTTTTCTGTTCTTAAAAGCTATAAAGTAAATGCCTTTTCCCAATTAATGTACATTGCAACCTAATCATATTAACCAACTGATGGTGGCTCAGTTGGTAGGATCTCTGGCTTGTTGTAGTGCAGACTTGGGCCAAATTCCACTGCCATCAGAGTTGGGGGGGGGGACCATTGGTATGGGTATGGGCTACCCCTGTTGTGTAGCTCTATGTACCCCAAAAAACCTAAGCTTATATTACCCGTCTTTAACTCTGTATAGAAACATTTGCATTTGTTTTACTTTAATTTTATATTTTTGGTCCAGAGATGAACCTCCTTACATATGTGATGTTCCATTCAATTTCCACATCCGAACTAATGCAATTTGATTAAAATGTAATTGCCGTCTGATTGAGGGAACCAATTAATTATTTTGCACGAATACTTGTGCCTATATTCAACCTCTTGGTGATGTTTGATGTTTAGAGGTGTCTTGAGTTGTGAGAAGTTGGTGAATGGCCAAACCATGCTGATTGCTCGTCAGCTAAACAATTTTTTCACAAGCTGTTGCAAACTTGCAATTACTAGTGATGTGAAATCATTGTGTACTCAGAACTATACCAAGTATCTACCTAGAATTATGTCGTATTTGGCATTTATTTACTGTAGCGTTTTGTTTATTGGAGGGCATAATATGCATGTATTTCATGGTTGATGTGCAGAGTTAACAACTCCATGTTGTCTTTGACTCTTTGTATATCATGCATTTTCATTGTCATTTTCCTATTGACTTTTCCCTGCATTCAACTCATTAATTGTGTTTCTTTTGTTCTTTTGAGGCATGCTATTAAACAATGAGATCATGCAATTCTTGGATTCACCACCTTGCAGAGGATACATTATAGAAATACTACAAGACAAAATTAGGCATGGGTTCTCTCCTTATCTAATGGGTGAGGTATTCATGAGTTCAATAACTTGTTGCTTATTAGCATTCCTCTTTTTCTTCACAAGTAACCTGTAAAGACAGTGGGTCATTCCCTCTAGTTTGGAAGAGCTCCTTTCCAAATGGAGAGTTCAAGGCTTTTCTGTTAAGGGGAAAATTCTCTGGAATTCACTGCCTCCTATCATGTTGAATTGTCTAGAAGGAAAGAAACAATTAGAATGGGAACAACTTCTCCCCAAGGGATAAATTGGGATCTAGGCTTCAGAAGTGGCCTAAGGGAAAATGTATGCAATTCTCTTATTCACTTACTTTTGGTGTAGTGTTCTTGGACTAAAATATTGAGGACAGTAGGATTTGGTCAGCCTCTCCTGATGGTCTATTCACTTGGTTCTCTTTCTTCAGAAACCTCACTCTGCCTAATTTTCAGGGGTATATTTCTTGATGAAAGGGATTTGGGGGAAGCCTGTCCCACCTAAGGTTCAAGCTTTTTGTTGGGAAAATTTCCTTGGAAAGATTAATACTCGTGATATGCTGCAGAGAAGAAGGCCTAATTCTTTCCTTCCTCACATCTGCTTCTTATGTAGGGCTAGTGGTGAAACTCTTTCCCATTTATTAATCTCCTGTTCTTTTGTGCATTGCATTTAGGAGTATTTTTGTTCTCTTTTTGGTTGCAGGTAGGATCCCACTCAAGATGGTGGTTGGCATCTTCAATCCTAATTTCTTGAGGCAACCAAATAAAAAGAGGGAGGATATTGTGGAGGAGCTGCAAGGCAGCAGTAGTTTGGGTTATTTGGAAAGATAGATGAAAGAATTTTTAGTGGAAAAGGTAGATCATTGGGGGAGGTAATAGACATTAGACAACATAAAGATAAAGGTTGCACATTGGATAAAAACCTTGGAAAGTTTTAAAATCTTCTCTGTCAATGGTATAATAAGAGCTTGGACTGAGGTGGCACAATCGTCTATAGAAAAAGACAAGATAAGGATGGATCGGAAACCTCTAGAAGGCAACAGAGTAAAACTGAACTTTAAATGGAAGCTCATTTGGAAATCCGAGTATGACAGTAATAGGAGGTGTATTTAGGAATTATGAAAGCAGAATAGTGGTTTTATATTCAGGGCCTATTGGAATGGGAAACTCTTTGAAAGCTGAACTGATGGCTTTGTTGCAAGGTCTACGATTAGCAAAAAACTCTTGGTTATAGACAGGTGAAGGTGGAAGGGGCTCAAAGCTAATTATCTCATGGGCAAGTTGTAATAGACATATCCCGTGCACCCATAGACATGCTTTTAAGGAAGTTGAAAGTTTTGCAAAGGACATAAATGCTAAATTCAAGTAGAAAAGAGATTGATAAAATAACTCCCTCTATTGATTTAATAACTTTCAACTTCCTTAAAAGCATGTGATAGGAGTTAATAAAATAACTCCCTCTATTGATAAAGGAAGGTACATCTGGTTGGCAGCCAACACTAAAACTTTTGCCAAATTCTCATGATATGGATCCTCATTTGTCTTTCCGTGCTCATACTAGGCATTCTCAGAAAATGACATGTTGCACCCTAACTCGAATGTAGTGTTAAGTGGGCAAGGGTTTGCTAGGATGGTCCCAGTGTTTTAAAAGTGCAAGGTGCAAAAAAGGCGCAGGGGCCTATTTGCATCTGAGGTGCAAGGCGTAAGGCGAGGTGCGCACCTTTTTTGAAGCAAGGCGCAAAAATACAAAAACATGCTAAAAAATTAAAAAAAGTCTAAAAATTAAAAAATGCCAAAAAATAAAAATATTAAGCAGAATATTAATAAAAAGTATAAACTTAAATTTTAAAATAAATGTTTTAAAAACCTATTATCTAAAATTAAAATACATAAACATAACATGTAAAGCATATTCAAATGAGAATTTAAAAATAAAATCAAACATATAAAACATTTTCAAGTATGTAAAACCCACAATCTCTTTTTTTTTTCCTCAATTGCATTACTTCAAGTAGTTAATGTGATGTAAAGCATATTACATTCCTAATTCTACGAGCTGCCTTTGTGCCACACCCCTCAAGGGAAGCCCAAACAAGACCATGTTAGGGTCTTAAAATTCTTAATTCTCATATAAAAAATAACGATTTTATAATTTTAATTGCTTTTTAAGAAGATATTTTATTAGGATGAATGAATGAACAATATTAACAAATAGGGGGTGAAGCGCAAGGTGCACCAGGTGTACACCTAGGCACATTGGATGGTCCTTGTAAGTGACTTGCCATGGCAACACTCGGTTGTGGTGCGGAATACACTAGGGTTCCCACATCTTTCTGGATGAAGGCGAGTAAAGAAGCTAGTCCAAGAAACATGATTTTGCTTAGCCACTTAGAATGTAGGAACATTACTAGAAAAAAACTATGTAATTAATATACACTATGAAGAGAAGGGTTAACATTGCATGCCTATAAGAAACTAAATGGAAGGGTAAAAAAGCTAAGGAAATTGATGGCTACAAATTGTGGTATACAGGGAGAGGTAAATAATAGAAATGGTGTAGCGATAATAGTAGATAAGGATTCAAAAAAATGAAATCTGTAAATATTAAAAGATTTGGGGATAGAATAATTTTAATTAGACATGTTTAAGGTGAGGAAATCATTAACATAATTAGTGTTTATGCGCCTCAATTGGGTCTAGAAGAAAATTTTAAAAGACAATTTTGGGAAAACTTAAAGGATTAAACCAAGAAATTCCAAATGAAGAGAAGATTTTTATAGGAGGAGACTTAAATGGGCATGCAGGGTAAAGAAGTGTAGGATATGATATGGTGCTTGGAGGATTTGAGTTTGGGGAGAGGAATGAATCAGGAGGTACAATATTAGATTTTGTAGTAGCTTATGATATGGTAATTTGAAACACCTTTTTTCCAAAAGAATGATGAACACTTAATAACATTTAAAAGTGGGGCAAACATAACTCAAATAGATTTTTGCCTTACAAGGAGAATAGAATCAAGGTTCAAAGTATCGACACATATCGGCCGATATGTACTGTTCCGGGACCCCTCCGATACGCCCCTATAGTGAGTGTATCGGAGGTCTCATCGGTTCAGGGGGTAGAGGAGACCTAAACCGGCCCCCTTGAACCGGTTGCGGAAAAAAAAAAGGCCTGAAAAACTGTATCGATTCGCCCGATATGCCGGTTTTTTGAACCTTGAATAGAATGAATGATGTGTAAAAATTGCAAAGTTATTCTGTGAGAAAGCTTAACAACACAACATAGACTAATGGTGGTAGATGTGTGCATTAGGAAATGAAAGAGAAATAGGGAAGAAAATAGGTGTCCAAGAATTAGGTGGAGAAACCTAAAAGGAGAAAATCTAACTCATTTTAGAAACAAATTGATAATAGAAGGGAATTGGAAGTTACATGGAAGATTAATGATATTTGGCTTGAAATGGCAAACAATATAAAGAAAGTAACAAAGGATGTCTTAAGAGAATACAAAGGGAAGTGGCAAAGTACTAAAGAAACTTGATGGTGGAATGAAGAGGTTCAAAATATAATTAGATTAAAACAAGCCTACCACACAAAAATGGCAAAAAGCTAGAAACGTCGAAAGCTGGGAAAAATATAAAATTATAAGAAAGGAAAGGAAGTTAAAAAGAAAGTGAATGAAGTTAAACGTGAGGCTTATGATGAGGTTTACCATAAATTAGTCACTAAAGAGGGAGAAAAAGGATTGTATAAAAGCAAAGTTGAGAGAAAGGAAACACAAAGATTTAAACCATATTAGGTGCATTAAAGATGAGGGTGGAAGAGTCTTGGTAAAAGATGAAGGAATCAAACAAAGATGGAAAACCTATTTTGAAAAATTGTTAAATGAACAGTAGGGAGAGGGTAAGTTGGCTGGCAAGAAATATGGCAGTTAGGTTTCAGTTGGTTAGCAGATCAGCTAATGCAATGGCTGATTCTTTGGCTAAACAAGGGGTGACCTGTTTTGGGCTATCTTATAATTGTAATTCAGGTTAGTGTCTGTTTATTTGCTTAATGCTAAGCTCCAAGGGAAGGTAATTGATAAAGTTTAGACCTGCACTAGAATTCAGTAAGAAATAACAGTAGCAGAAAACTAAAAAAGGATAGAGAGAGAAGAAGAAGAGAAGAGAAGAGAAGAGAGAAGGAAAAACTGGTTTGAACTAGAGAGAGAGTTCAGTTCTCCCTAGTCGACCAGATTGTATTTATACTTTTCTAATGAAAAACAAAAGGTTTGTTGTGCCCCTACTTAAGTATGGGACACATCACTTAACTTAAACATGACACCTCACATCAAACATAAACAAATTGACAAAACTACCCCTATACATTTGGACTAACACTCCCCCTCGAGCTGGTGAGTATATATCATATAGTTCTAGCTTGTTACATATGTAGTCCACTCTTCTTCGACTCAACCCTTTATTGAATAAGTTTGCCTATTGATTTCGTGTATTAACATATGTAGTGGCTATCACTCCACTTAGCACCTTCTCCCTCACAAAGTAACAATCAACTTCTATATGTTTTGTTCTCTCATGAAAAACTGGATTAAAAGAGATGTGGACTGTAGCTTGGTTGTCACAATAAAGCTTCATTGGAGTGTCAATTGAATTCTCCATCTCTTGTAGAAGATTTCTCAACCACACTAGCTCACAAGTTGTGTGTGCCATGGCTCTGTATTCAGCTTTAACGCTGCTTCTTGCCACCATTACCTGTTTCTTACTTTTCCATGTTACCAAATTACCCCCAAGAAAGGTACAATAACCTGTAGTGGACCTTCTGTCAGATACAGAACCAGACCAATCAGCATTGGTGTATCCTTCTATTTCAAGATTTCGTCAACTTTTGTGTAACAAGCCACGACCAGGAGCTCCCTTCAAATACCTTACAATCCTTAGAACTACATCCCAATGTAGAACCCGAGGATTTTGCATAAACTGACTCACCACACTAACTGTAAATGAAATATTTGGCCGAGTAATGGTTAGGTAGTTTAGT